AGAGTAAAAGAAAAAGAGTTTTTTTATAATTAAAGAAAGATTATTGAATTAAAGAAATTTATGTTACTATGGTAACAATATATTTAATAGGATTATATATATTTTAATTTAAAATATTAATATAAATAATTAAGTAATTAAGATTAAATAAATAAAAAAAATTATAATATTAAATTATATTCTTTATATATTTCAAATTTTTATTAGATTTATTATTAACAAAAAGTATTTAGATAGATTTATTTTTTCTTTTTCTTTTTCTAATATCTAATAAAAATATTTTATTATATATATTTTAATAGTAACTTTTCTTCTTTTTATATATATAATCTAAATTTAATTATAATTATAAATTTTATTTTATAAATCTTGATAAAATATTATTATTAATAATTTTTTAAACTATTATATTTTTTTATTATTTCTTCTTTAAGTAATTTTTCTTAACTAAAAGTTTTACTTATACTTTAATATAATATTTAAGCTTTTTAAAATATATTTCTTATTTTTTAATTAATTTTTTTTGATATTAATTTTTAATAAAAAAACTATTTTAAATAATTTATTTATTATAATTATATATATTTATTCATACTCTAATAAATTTTTAGTAATAATTTTAATTTTTTCTATTATATCATACTAATTTATAATTTTTTTTGATAATATAATAATAAATTATAAAAAAAATAATATATTAACTAATAAAAAAATATAATTAAAATTAGTTATATTACTTTATACTAAGTAATCTTGATAAGAATAAATAAGAAAGAGAATAATATTAAAATTAATAGTATATTTTTATATTTAACTTATTTTTAAGTTATGAAATATTCTTATATAAATTTTTAGCAATTTGAATTAGTAATACTTATTTATAATATGTAAATATATTATAAAATTCTTGATATAAATCTTGAAATATTTTATAAAAAAAGTCTTATTAATATTTGATACTGATAAAAAACTTTGTATTACTTGCTTTATTATATTTAATAAAGTATAATAATATCTAAATTTATAATATAAAGTGAAATATATAATACAAAGTAAAAGTCACATGCAACTGATCATTAACTAATAAACTATTAGTTGATTCAAAAGAAGAATAAAGAGAAATACTTCTAATAAAAAAATATCAGCTGATAAATAATGCTTCTCTTATAATTATAATAAATCAAATTAATTTATAAAAAATTATCAATTAAAAGAAAAGTTAAAATAAATAATATTAAAAATAATATTTCTAGTATTAATATTATATAAAATAATAATTTAAATTTACATAGCTTAAAGATAATTATAAAAAGCTTTTAAAATTTAATGATCAGATAAATAAAAAGTCTATTTGAATCTTATTTAATAGTAGCATATCTCATAACTTTATTAATAAAAATTATATATATAAAAATCAACTACTAATATAAATAATAATTATGAAACTGATTAATAATTATAAGAAAAAGTAAATCTATCTGCTTATTAATAAACTCAAATAAATATATATCATATATCTAATATTAATATATAAATTTTAAAAATTAATACTATAATTTTATAACTTTATCTATATATTTTATCAATAATATACTAAGTATTTATCTAATATTAAACTATTTATAATTTATATTATTAAAAAGAAAAATATTAAAAAGTATCAATTTCTAAAGAAGTTATTAAATTAATTAAAATTTTGCCAATACTTTCTTGTAACCAGTGTATTAAAAGTTTTGTTTTATGTAAATAAAAGTAAGGTGAATTTAATCGCTATAATATCCTTGATTACACGAAAAACAAGCCAAGTTTCTGAAACTGAATTTTTTCTTTTTCTATTAATAGTGGATTTCTCATCGTCATACAAACGATGCGCGTTATTATCATTATTATAATTAATATTATCGTTATTATAATTAATACCATTATAATTATCTTTAATTTGTTGCTCTGATTCATTATTATCACTATGCAATGTTGATGGTGATGGGATCGCTGCCTTATGATATACGGTGGGTAATATTATTTGTGGATTTTCATGATTCTGATCACGTTCAAATGACGACGAAAAATTTGGTAATTCGTCAAGAAGTTTAATCGCATTTTGACTTCTGAAACTTCTTCACGAGTTGTCTGCATTTGATGCATCTGTTTGATATGCCACAAATGGAAATTAATTCTAAAAGGATATCATTAAAAATCCTCGAATGAAGTTTAAATTAGTTACCTTGAATAATGCTGCAACAACTCGGCCTTGAACCAGACCACAAGCTATTAGGATGATTCTGTAAAAGGAAATATAACCGACATTATATACTTTAAAAACATTTCATATTCCGCACTTTACCTCTTTGCATACCACTAATTTAGGATAAAAAGAGATTTAACTAAACTTTTCGAATAAAAAACAAATAAAAAAAGAAAAAGAACCTAGCCTGCTCGCTAAAATACGTCAAAACACAAATTTATCATTGATTCGCAAAAACGCGTACAATATTTCTTTGAGATTTTGACCAAATTCATCGAGGCCACCAGAACCTTTCGAGTAAAGGGAAATCTTATTCCGCGTGTCATGATAGCCGAGAATAAACCTGCAACAAAATATCAAATTAAATAATAAAGATGTCGAATCAATTCGATATTTTTTGTTGGTGCATATATAATAGTCATAAGAAGGTAAAAATTCCAAGGATTATTCGTCGTCAATGCTATTAGAACATATGAATTGACAGAATTATCGAATTATTAAAAGGAACATTTGAGATATATATATATATGCGCCGAATACACTCGTAAGGAAGGCGGTTAACAAAGAAATCGTGCACTGGTCAAAGCAATGCAAAATGATACTGGAAGCTAATCAATGACCCACTTACCAATTAATAGTATCCTGCATACTGATAATTTTTTCATATGCTCTCATAATAGATGGATCAGATAAATCACAGGCCATAATTTCAAAGGATTAGTTACTGCTGCGTTATTTATTGTTTATAGCTAAGGGCTCGCTTTAGCATAAAAAATTATTCTTTATATTTTATTTTGGCACGAAAAGTAGTGTTAAATAGTCCTATCGGAAGGAAATTATGGGTTTAAAAAAATTTAAACGAAACGATTATCCAAGTTTTTATTTTATAATTATTAGCGCGTCTTCATCCTAATAAAAAGATATTATTGATTTAAAATCATCGATATAATGATTTCCAAAATTTTTTTGACATAGACAAAAAAGAAAAACTTTTGCTTTATTACTGTAATTTTCTAAAATGAGCTCATAACTGTCTTCTTTATTTATAGTGTGAAAACTACGGGTTTCTGCTAACTTCATAAACCCCTACAAGTGTGTTTGGTTCTTTGTGAAATTTAACGGTTATCAATCTATTAGCATTTTTAGCACGAAGATATTCACGATGTACTATACTCGTCAAGTTGGGATTTTTTATTTCATTCTATAGCTATTACTTCCTATCCCTTGTAGAATAGTATTAATTTACTGCATAAGAAAAGGAATAATGAATATCCTAAAACCCGAAATATTCATTTAATTTTTTCTCATTTTTACCCCACTTCTACCAATCGATCAAAACTCTTGGGAACACACTAAAGAATCGCGATCGAAGCATCACATACAAAGAAAGCAATTTTCTTTGCTTTGCTTTACCAAAAAGCTTTGGGGAAAGTCCCCGGACACGTGGCAGAAAGTGTCGCCCATAACGCGATAAAAGCCGATTGTTCGCGCAATGCCATCCCGTTAGAGATAACGTATGAGTCAACGATGAAATTTCTCTTGAAATTCTGAGACTTGGATGGTGCATGCGGACCGGTCGTGTTACAGTTATGCGATTGTACTCGTTCTTTTGTTTGTTAAGAACGACGATGAGTATAACTCAACGGGGCTTACTCTTGGAATGTTCACATCCTTCTTACTATCCTCTTTTTTTAGCCTAAGTTTTTTATTTAATTTCTACGTGTATATGTATATAAAAAAAACCCCTCAATTGGGTGCAGAATAAAGGGTTCGCATAAGAATCACATTCTAAACAAAAGAGAATTAGTTATTTCATGAACCAACACCATTTTAACTAGCGTACGTAGATATACACGTACAATAAAGATCTTTCTTTGGCGGGATTCAACTTTAATTTTCATATCAAATCGATGTTCAAGAAACATCGCATGGATCTTTGTGATATCAAATCAACATGATTTCACGTGCATACATATTCACAAAGCGCTTTCATGCATTTTGCATCGAAAAAGAATGTCTTTAGTCGCAGATTACATTTACTGAAAGTGAACAAGAAGAATCTTCCATTAGTGAACAAGTGAGCAAAGACAAAATAAGCAAGAATCTTGTATAACTGAGAAAAAGAATTCTCTATTTTCTACACTTCCGCCGCCGAAGAACAGAGTAGTAAACATCGCTACTACTAATGTTGGTACTATTTCTTCGTCAAAGAACAAGAAGGACCAGTTAAGAGCCTTGTCGGTTTGCCAAAGCACTCGGAAAAGGACAATTTAGACAGTGATAGTGATGACGATGAAAGAGAGGCAAAGAGACTAAAGTTTGGAACGAGTGGTAAAGTGCCTGCTCCGACAAAAACTATAGCTTCAAAAGACATAAAAACTGATAAAATAATAATGAGAGAATGGGAAAACAGTAAAAAACTACAAGTTTTGTTCCGCATATTGTAAAAAGCAAAAATCTGCTACTGTTGCAAAACTAATTAAAACTATAACAGAAGACAAGAATCGATTAGTGATAACCAAGACGATGAAACGTCAAAAAAGATGAGGAGATATCATTCTTTCCATTAGGTATTTTTTAAAATATAATAATAAAATTATTGACCAAATTTTAGACACAGAAATTTTAAACATTGTAAGAGTCGATTTCAAGCACAACTGAAGAAAATAATAAAGATGATGATGATGATGTACACTCACTGGACAAAAGTTTGGAATCGGCAATGTAGGTCACGAATTTTGATATGACTTTTAATTAATATTTCTCAACTTCTCTAATAAATTACGATAAAAAATATATCATTTTATTCAGCAAAAGTAGGGCTATTCATACATA